ACCTCTCTGAATGATCACGCAAATGACTTGTTCCATTCTTAGAAGCACCACCAAGTTTTTTCTTACAATAATTGCATATTGCCTTCCATTCATTATTGATCTTCTCTTTTTTAAAATGTTTCCATACTTCTGATTTTAGCTTACTTGAGTTATACCCACTATCATCAACTTCAGTACCATCGTTAGTCACACTTAGTGATGGAGTTGTATTTTCATCAGATGTTGGAATGAGAGCTTGCTGAATTGGTGATTGATGTGAGGTAGAAGTATGAGGTGTTGGGGAACATGAATTATTTCCCAAATTAGACATTTCACCTTCATTCATAAAAAAAAAAATTAGAGTTAATTCTACTGAAATAATTAAAAAATAAACTTAGAATCCAAGTAACAAAAAAATTAGAAAAGTTCATTTCATAAAAAATAAAGTAAAAGATAATCCTACCATGTATAACTTAGCATGCACCTTTAGGTTGTTCACTTAACATGCAACTTTAGCCAAATAAGGAGGCTAATTAATATATAAAACAAGTTAAAATATCTTCATTTGTCTTCACTAATGTAAGAGAATCAGATTTCTACAAGCAAGATATTTCTAAAGGGCATAAATGGTTTAGGATTGTATATTGATAAATGTGCATGTAATGAATGAATTTCAAAGCTTAAGTGGCCTTTATTGAACACAACGATCGTTGCACAGAAACATGCTCTTCTTTTCATAAACATGTAAGTCTCAAGCTGTTGGAACAATTTTAGCCTTTGCCTGTAACTTCTTTTCCCTATAAAAGTTAATATGTCACTTAGTAAACTGTCATGACTATGGTATGATGTTGATCTGTAACTTCTGAGAGGTATATGTTATCTTAAGGATTTATTTAGTTAGCTTTTATCTTACCTTCTAGGTGGATACATGTTATCATAAACTGGTGTAGAACCTACACTAGGTATATAAGCTCAGCCTCGAAAAAATGGGGAAAAAAAGCAAGAGCAAAGGGATTACTAGGTGTGAAAATGCTAAATTATAATTAATAAAACATACACTTTTTGCTTTTCAGTGATCTTTATATTCACTAAGTTTGGATTTAGCACTGGCATTAATAGGTTATAAATGACTGTTGCAAGAGTCCTAAGAATGTGTGCTGATGGATAATATAAAAGGTATGAATTGTAAAACTTTTTGAAGACAACCTCCAATCAGTTTTTGTTAACATTTGTAGAAATTGACGTTTTATTTGTAAAGAGAAACTTCAACTGGGATGCCTAGAAAGGAATGATGACTATATGCAAACAAAAAAAGATTAGATATTTTGCATAATTGCTGTATTTATACAACTCCTGTTCATGAACACATACATTTGTGTCATTTTCATACATATTTCTACATGTAAGTATGTATGATTAACTTCATTCATATTCATGCATGGAGTTGAAAGCAATGTTTTTATTTTAATTTCTATGTTTAATTAATCTGTGGAAGGTGGAAATTAGTAGTAGAGGCCACTGTTTTTGCTGCCAATTAACATAAGCAAAAGCCAATTAACCAAAGATTGATTCGTCTTAATTTCCACATCTCAGATTGAAACTGAAAGAAGGGACTTTTTAGTTGTCATAGAGGGTGCATATTCGTATCCGTTAGTCCATGACCAGCACCTTCAATTTGACAAAAACAAAAGTTATAGGTAGATACACCACAAGTCTACACTGCAGGGATTTTTCAAATTTTTTTTGTTCTTAAAGAAAAAGAAACCCGAAAAGATTCCTGGAAAACCTACAATCGTAGCTAAGGTTTTCCGATTCTGCAGGGCATTACTTTGTTCTTGAAAAGTTACAAAACCAATTTTTAAAACATAGCCTTTTTCAACTCCCTCAGAGACGCAAAAAGTTTATCCAAAACCCCTCTCATGGTTTGCAAGCACATGGTTTGCAAGCACATGGTTTGCAACAGAACATGGTTTCGAAAACAGCACATGGCAACAGAACATGGTTTCGAAAACAGCACATGGTTTGTAACAAAACATGGTTTGCAAGTTGCAACATAACATGAACCAGAACAGCCGGTTAGCAGAGTTTCAGCTTTGTCTGAAATCAAAATTGAAACTATCCAAGTCTCTGTAAAAACTCAACATGCTCGACATAACATTAACAGTAGAAGGTAAGGAGATGATTTTGGCTTACCTCAAAACTGCTGTCTGCTGGTATCCTGGCACTGTGGAGATTACAAATGGTTGCGACTCATCTGTCTTTCTGTCCTGTTAACTTTACTCTTTCTAGCTTGATGGCTTTTTTTGTTGAAATAGAGGAAAGATTCGAAGGAAGAAAGCTAAATAGATGGAAGTTAAATGGATGAAAACAGGTGGGATGGCTGGAATTAGATAGGTGGATGAGAAATTTTGAACAAATCGAAAGAGATGAGAAGGATAGGGCGGACGAAAAACAAAAACATTGAAAGCAATCGAAACTCAGAAACCCTAAAAGAAAATTACATATATATATATTAAGGGTATTTTAGTAAATATCTCGGGTCGGGTCAGGTTTCATATAAACCCGACCCCGACCCGAAACCGATTTTTCAAAAATTAAATCCGACCCGACCCGATCCGAAACCCGTTTTTTAAGAAAAAAACTCGACCCTAAATTATCGGGTCGGGTCAAAACCCGACAGATTCGGGTAAATTTGTCGACCCTAAATTTGGCTTTTCCGAGCCCCATTTAAGATTTTGGTTCATTTTAGCCCTTCTAAAATGAGACATTTATATCTATATAACTTAACTATATTTAAAGTAGTCTCCATTGTCATAAATGCTCGTTTGGTGTTCTTTATTAAGGAGTTGACACATGACTTAAATGATTATAATGTTTTTTTTTATCATAATTATAGAAATACCCTTCCTATCATAATTAATTAAAATTGTTATGATTTTCTTTTATCATAATTATGAAAAAACTCTACTTGTCATAATTAGCAAAAATTACTATAATACTTTTTCTATTGTAATTACAAAAATAACCTTCATATAATAATTGACCAAAATTATTATAATATTTTTCTTATCATATTACGAAAACCTCTTATATCATAATTGCTAATATAACCTTCATATAATAATCAACCAAAAATATTATAATGTTCTTTTTACCATATTACAAAAATAACCCTCCGATCATAATTAATCAAAATTATTATAATACCTTTTTCTACCATAACGAAAATATTTTTGAGATTACTTAATAAGAAGGTGATATATAACATTTTATTTAAATATTAATATAAAGCCCCTATTAAAGTGACATATTAAATTTTAACATAATATAAAATTAACAACTTATTTAATTACTAAAATACCCTTACCATTACTTTATAGAAATTTTACATGTGGCATATTATTTAAAATTACTATTATACCCCTATTAAATTACATATTAAAATTTAACATAATATAAAATTTACCACATGCTAAATTACTAAGGTATCCTAGCCATTGCTTTATAAAAATTTGACATATGCTATTTTTTAAAAAAATTACTATAATAATTTTATTAAATTATATATTAAATTTTAACATAATATAAAATTAACTACATATTAAATTACTAAAATACTCTTACTATTCCTTCATAGAAATTTATCACCTAATATTTTATTAAAATTATTATAATACCCTTATTAAATTAAATAAAACTTAATTACATATTAAATTTCTATAAAATAAAAATAAAAATATAATGTGATAAACGTAATTTTAAATATATATAACAAAAAATTAAATTATTTTTTATTTTGCTTTAAATATTTTTATGAAAAAAGTTTATAAAATACAATAAATTGAAAATCATACATTTGATCAAATAATTAATAAATATATAAATGCAAAATATAATATAAAAAATTAACAAAAACTATAATTGCAATATATAAAATAATACATATTAATTTTAATACTTTTATAATTTTTTTTTACTTATTATTTTATATTAAAATAATTATAAATATATTCAAAATAACAAAAATTGATAAATAATAATAACAATTTTTGACAAAAAAAAAATTAACTGCATGACAACTATTTCTAATATTATGTTTGGATTGAACGGAGGAGAAAAAAAGGAAAGAAAAACAAAGGAAAGTAATGGAAATAGAAAAATATTTCTTTTCTTTGGATATATTTTTAATTTAAAAGAAAAGAAAGTGGTGAAAATCCAATAACCTTTGATTTTTTTATAATTTTCATATTTTTAATACTTCAATTTGAGAAAAAACCTAAGGAAAAGAAAGTTTAAAAAATTTTATTTTTATGAAAAAATTATTTTATCTATATTTTTATTATGACATTAGATTTGATTATATAACTGACACTTTTTACAAAGATAATTTTTTATTGAGTATTTTATATTATATCACAGTTTATAAATATTTTATGAATTTTTAAATCTTAATAACAAAACAAGTTAAATTAGTATCATAATAAATTAAAAAATTAAATTAAACGTAAAATTAAAAGTAAATTAATAACTAGCTAATATATCTCACCGAATTAAATATACTCAATTTTGTTCAAAAAATTTGTTTATACAAGTTAAGTAATATAAAGATATATTTATATATTATATATTACTTTATTAAAAAAAATTATAATTAAAAAAATATTATAATAAATTTTTTATTATTTATCCAAACAATGATTGTTAAAATTTTTTTATTAATTTTAATTATTTAAATAAGAGATACATGTACTATTTTTTTTCTTAAAAATTTTTTTTTCTTTAATTTTTTTTTTATTAATATCTATCCACGATGTAATTGTAGATTTTCAAGTCATCCTTCCATTCCAAATAATAATATCATCCACGCATGATTAATATCGCTTTACATTTTGCCTACTCAAAAGGGTAAAAAAAAACAAATCTCGCTCTTCGATGGAAGACGGGAAAGAAAACATTGAGCCCAAGCTAATACGCACAGATGGGCTCTTTAAGGTTTTGGTTTTGGGAAGGCTATAACAGAGTGTGGGTGTAGCTCATCCAACAACAACGGGTCAAAAATTAAATAAATTGATTTTGATATTTGATGGGGACACCCTCCAATTAAAACTCACTACTAATTAATATGGACCATATTGGTTACATTGTACCTACACAAGATTGGGACATGACATGGGCCGAGTAATCCCCAACATAATTATTCTTTTTTCTTTTATAATGCACATACGAAAAGAGAGAACACATGTTCTGCTAACTTGCTTTATGCCTAAAATTGTCATATTTTTGACAAATAATTTGTTCAATTTTTTATTTAAAAAAAAAAAAGAAATTCTCTTCAGGAAGTGGCAGATTCCTGAATTCTGAAACCAAAATATTAACGAAACTCAACTAACAGGAAGAAACTTTTTTCAGTGGATTTACACTAACATATGCATGGTTCATTTGTAATGATAATGCTGAATGTAAGAACATGCTTAAATTACATGACAAATTCAGTTCCGATGGGAAATTAATTACAGTAAAACAGGGGTTTAATTCCAATGGAAGATTTAAACAAATGGAAGGGAAATGAATGAATGCATGTGAACCAAAACATATATTAACACTAGCATCCAGTTTGATAAAACAATAGAAGAGAAGAATGGTGTGAATGACCCAACGAGTTTCAAGTCATGATAAATTGCATTCATGAAATGAAATATACAATAAAATGAATAAACTTTCCATGACAAAATTCTCACGTAACTCATCTTCCAAAATCATAGAGGTAAACCTTGCTGGAAAACCATGTATAGTTGCTAAACTAACATTAATATGTGCAATTAATGAAAATAGACAGAACTATATAAAATGAAGAGACTTTTTTTCTTTTTGATTTGTGCACACGAAGTATTTTTCTTTGGAAGAGAAACAAAAAAAAAAAACCTGTGTATGCACAGCTATAAACACGGTTTGCACATGTGCATATGCAAAATGTTCCCAAGAAGCTGAAACATAAAACTTTCTAAAATGAAAATGATTTTTAAATTCTTTTCGGGCCAATATCTTAATTTGTTGTGTATGTATAATAGTAAAAGATGCATTCACCTTGATGCATGCCTACCGATCTAATTCATTCACACTCCCACATGAATGTGACATACAGTACAAATGAAGAAGCTTAGAAAACGAACCTTTTAATTACAATCGACCGACCCGGTGACACTACAAAAGCCAGGTCACAATAAAGATTCATGAGAATTTAGGTTTAGGCACAGGTGAAGTATAGGTATTAGAGTGAGGGTGCACGGGACCAAGCTTTTGAATCCAATGAAGGAGCCCTTTCTTATGATCTTGGCAAGTTGGGTTCGGTACCAAATTCAGGGTTCCATCATGATTAAGTGAGGACTCAAATTGCTCCAACACCTTCACTATCTGCCAAAATTCAGGCCTCTTATCTGGGTGCGACGACCAACATTGCTCAATTAAAGCTCGCATGGCAGGAGGGCAGTCTCCTGGGATAACAGGTCTCAACTTCTAGAGAAAAAAAAAGTTCTGATATCAGAATTACAGATATAGAAGCATCTCAGTTGAGATTAACAAATGCAACAAATCATTCATAGAGATGCCACAATTGCACTCCAATTCTCCCACATAAGTGAAAATTCAAGTACAATATCTGTTAATAACCATGTCCTTACTTCCAAAACCTCCACAGAGTCAACCAAACAATCTATCAGACACACTCAAAAGAATGGAGAAACATGATGCTTCCTTCAAATTAAGTATCCATTACTTCTAAAATGTTGTTTAGTTAGCCATATATTAAGCAATGGAAGGTGAGTCAATAAGGGTGAACAGGATAGATCGTTATAATGAATGTCTTTAGGATAATAGCTTAAGATTAACAGCTCATGCCACTGCCTAAGACCAAGATACTAGTATTACTGCTGAGAATCAGCAAGATAACATAGCTTCTTAGCAATATACCATCATGCAGACTAAACCATCAGCATTGCTTTGATTCATAAAAATTTTGAATGCAGTGATATGCCATATCTTTTGCATCAAGACTACAATCGTAGGTTGACAGAACATGATTAAATCAATGAGATGAAAAACTATTTAAGAAAATAGGTTGGATGATTTAGGGTGGGTGTTGGAGTTCCTTGGGGAAAATTTTGATTTGCAAAGGCCAGAAAGAACAGAGGCTGGAGATATATACATCCATATTACCATGAAGTATGAGATTTAGGAACATACCTTGTTCACAACTGCAAAAGCAGCTTGGATAGGATTCATATCCTCATATGGGATTGTTCCAGCTATCATTTCCCACAAGATTAGTCCAAAGCTGTACACATCCACCTTCTTTCCATACGATTTCCTTTTGATCATTTCAGGTGCCATCCAACGGTAAGTCCCTGGGTCATCTGCCAGGAAATCACAATATGTCTCCTCACAAGCTATACCAAAATCAGCAATTTTCAGGTGGAAATCCTGATCAATAAGGACGTTTTCTGGTTTAAGATCACGATGAATGACTCCTTGAGAATGAATGTATTCCATTCCACGAGCAACTTCCAGAGCAATAGCAATTAACTTTCGCAATGGAAGCAACTTGTGATCAAGCTTGTGCAAGTATGCCCTCAATGAACCCTCTGATAAATATTCTGTTATAATACAATAAACCGGTGGCTTTCTGCATGCTGCTACAAACTGGTTATCAGATCAAAAGATAAAGTGAGAACAGAAACATGGCAAGCCCCCACCAAAAAAAAAAAAAAAACACTCAATTCAAGAAAATATAAAGCTATGGGAATTTAGAAATTAAGGGATTGAAAACCAGAATAAACTCTGTATGACAAAACCTGAACAAGTTATTTATGAAACGGGAAAATCGAAAAATAAAAATTCAATTACCTTTATAACATTCATATGGTGGAGTCGAGATAAAAGAGTAACCTCTCTATCGAACTGTTTCTCTAATCGTGCGGCTAAGTTTCCATTTTCGTCATCATCTGGTACCCGTATAATTTTAACTGCAACAGCTTCCTCCTTATATATCCCATGATAAAGCCGGCTATGCGCACCGTGTGCAAATCTAAGCCCAAGAAATAGCTGTGAAAGTTCAACAGTGTGTTCATCAGCTGCTTCTACAGCGTTAACCCTTCCTCCAGCATGGTCAAAATACTTAGTCCAAGCCGATTCTTTCCTGCTCTTTGACTTATCTGAAACTTTCATGGAACCTACGTGCCTAAGGGGACTTGAATTTGATGGCGCTGGTGAACTGGATCCTTTCTTGTCATGAGGTTCTTTGTGGAAAAACTTTCCCATGCGTCGCTTCTCCGATTCTTTCCTTCGAGGATGTGGAGTTGAGAATCTCCTGCTCTCAGACCTTGCTTCCTTAAATGTATCAGAGAGAACAGTCTGAGGAAGAGGAGAAACAGATCTTTGCTTGTTTGTGATTGGATTTCGCTGAATCTGTATATCATTGTGAACTGCTTTCTGATTAGAAGAAGCCACTGTTGACCTTGGTTTCCATCCCAAACTCCAGTCTGGATTACTGTCTGATTGTAGGTGGAAAGGAACAGAGATAAATTTAGATGAGTCCAATCTATGACAAACGGTGTGAGAAAACTTTGTTCTCCTAATCCAAGAATTAGCCTCTTCTGCCATTTCTTAAATCCTTGAAATTCACTCCAAATACTACAAACGCTATAAAACCTTAAACCCAAAGCTTCCCTTTATCTTGCTCCCCTTCTATGTTATCTGCCTCCTTTGAAGAAGAAGGAACACAATCAAGAGAATGTTCCTGAAACAATACTCCTAGGCAATATACAGAACTAAAGAAACTAAAATTCTTCAAGCCCTTCAACAATTGACCAGTGAAAAATCAAACTCTGTTTTCATTGAAATCAAGAAACCAATCAAAGCCATGAAGAAGAACCATCAAGAATGGCTTTAATCTCTTCTCCATTGAAAAAAGAGAGAGAGAGAGAGAGAGAGAGAGAGAGAGAGAGAGACAGAAAGATAATCACTTGAAACCCATCAAATCTATCCACACTTGAAAGACCCTTTCTTCAATCTATCAAACAACAAAAAAAGCTGTTGATTCATAATAAAAAAACCAAACCTTCCTCCAAAAAACTAATTTTTTGGTTTTTTTTTTTCTCTTTAGGCTTCAAAAGTCAAAATACCACCTTCCGTGAATGCCTGGAAAATCCCACACGGTAACAAAATAAACAAGTCATCCATCAAACGATTAAAAATAAAGTAAAACAAAAAAACAAAAACCCAAAGAAAAAAACAAAAAAGCATACTTCATTTTATTATTGAAAATAAAGAAAACCCCATGATTACAACTTCCATTAAGCACAGAAAAAAAAAATAATTTGTGTCAAAAACAATCATAAATCCCATTATAAAAATACTATGTCTAAAAAAACAAATACCCAGATTCATAAATAACCAGATATGCACCAAACAAATTTTTAAAAAAATAGAAAAAACAACTCAAAAGTATTAAAACTAGCACATATGATAACATATACCCAAAAAAAGCATCCAATGGCAAGAGCTTTACCATGAAGCTAAGAAGTACATGGCTAATCAGCGCAAGGCGGCATTTTTTTTTTTTTAAGAGCTCAATTTTTTCTTTCTTCCAAGTTATAACCTTCTTTGTTGCGATAGATCAAAGACAGGATCTTTTTGTGGGTAGAAAAGAGAAGAAACAAATAAAAATAAAAAACCAAAAAATAGTAAAAGAAAATCTAAGAATTCTCCTGCAAAAGAAGTTTGAGAAGGTATATCCGTATATGTATTGTATCTTATACGGAGACGGCTCGGAACCGTAGATTCCGTGGACCCGACATTTTCGGGGTTGAGGACTGGAAAAAGGCAAAGCCCAGTTGAAGGAGGTGATGGAGTGTGGGGACCACAAAAAGATAGAAAGTCAATAAAAGACGGCTTTTGATTTTTCAAAAACACGTATTATATTGATTTTATAACACAAAGTAAAGTGGAGGAGTACCAGTGTCATTTTCTAAGGAATGAGTATTTTTCATTTTCTTTTTTTTTTTCCTTATAATTACAGCGAAAGCAAAACTACAGATGGATGGTACGGTTCGTTCGCACGTATTTGTTGTAGTAAGTTTTTTTACCATCCCTGTTAGTATTTTATAGGTATAGGGATCGTGTGTATGCCTATAATTGCATATGGACAAATGGATTTTTTGTTTTTTTTTTTATTTATATTTTTTAAAATTGTTTGGTTGAATTGGAATTGGATTTTTGCTCTTTGTTTTTTATAAGATTCTTCAGTGTTTCTTTTTTAAGTATACGTATACCTAATTCATATAATAAACTTTTAACTATGAGACGGTGTTAGATTCGAAAAAATTCATAAATTTTTTTTTAGAATTTTGATGATGGATATTTGATTGTTGTAGATATTAATTTTATTTTATTTTATTTTAATTTAAATATAATTTATTATTATTATTATTATTAATTTTTTTAAAAAAAAAAAAAATAAAAAAAATAATTTTAGTTTCAACTTTGACAGTTGAAATCAAGTTATCAAAGTAGTTTTTTTTCTTTCCTGACATTGTCTAACTTGACACCATGAAATCCAGTGACTTTTATCAAAAGTCATCGAATAAGTTTCTAAAAATTTGCACATAAAGATCTCAAGAGATTTGAGACTTAAATCCTATGAGCTCTATAAATAAAACTAATTTATGAAAAATATAAAAAAGGGAAAAGAAAAAGGAGAATATTGTAAAAGAAAAAAAAAAAAGAACACAGAGCAAAAAAAAAACCAACAATCATGGTCCATTTTGACGGAGGAACCAACAGCAAACAAAAAAAAATTTAGAAACAAAAAAAACTTCCCAAGAATGAAATTATCGACATAGGAAGTTCGAGAATTTTTTTGAAAATTTTGGCTTTGAGAGAGTATTTAAAAAACAAAAAGAATCAATTTGGGATTTTAAAAAAAATTTTAAAAAATTTTTTAGGTCGTTGAATTCTAAAAAACTTTGAATTTTTTGACAACTTTTGAAGTTTTTGGTGACCAAAATCTAGAAATTATTTGAATTTACCGACGCCATTTAAAATTTCCAATGATAGCATGGCAATGATTGGTCGAAAACTAGGTAACTGCGACTGCTGGTAAGAGGGGTTGAGTTTTTAGAAAGAAAGACTCTGGGGGTAGAGAGAGAGTGTGGGGAAAGAAAAAAAAAAAACAGAAATAGGCATTTTATAGGTACTCCAAAATGGCGATGTTTTTGGTGTCTACTTATGCCCAACCCACACAGGATATGCGCATCAACACGCATTCTGACTTGACTCGTTTGGCAGGTTTTTCTTTTTCTTTTTCTTTTATATTTTAAATAAATTTTTTGAAAAAATGTAATTTTTATAAAGAAAATTGAAAGAGTTCAATTTTTTTTAATATAAGTAAAAAATTAATATATTTAGATTTCGTCGATGAGTCAGGATAATTTAAATTTTTTTTAAATAATAAAAAAATAATAAAGAGTAAATAATAATAAAAAATAATAATAATAATATTAATTAATTAATTAAATCCCTTAATTATCATAAAAAATGATTTTATTTAGGATCTTGTCAAAAAGTTGAGATGATCCTAAAACTTATTCAAAATTTTTAAGATTTTGTCGAAGAGTAAGGATAATCTTAAAATTTATTTAATAAATTTTAGGATCTCACTAAAGAATCGAGATGTTCCTAAAATCGTTTTATTAAATAAATAAAATATTTTAGGATGAGATTTTGAGAATTTTGTGAATGGTTAATTTCTCGAAATATTTTTTAAATAAAAATTTTTTTATAAATTTTATCAAAGCGTTGGAGAATTTATATAATACGAAATAATAGAAATAATAATAATGTTAATTTCACAATAAAGAAATATTTTTTTCATAAATAAATTTTAGAAAATTAAATTTAAATATAAAAAAAATCATATCATCAAAGTTAAATGGATTACACATGTTTCATTGGTATTGTTCGAACGACATGATAGTGTTAATATCTTTTTCACTTGTAACTATATTTTCAAACTTAACTTTGATTTTACAAACCTAAACTTCTTTTAGTAAATCTTAATTAATTTTAATATTTTTATTAAAAAATGATATATTTGGGTGGCCAATCACCCTATAAAAAAAAGATATTGGTGACGACTCTGAAAATTTTCACAAAGTCTAGCGATCAAGTCCCCCACGGATGAAAAATCATTATGATAGCTTGGTGACTTCGTTGGAGACACTTGAGAGTCAAGTTGAAAATTAAACATACGTTATCAAAACTTTGATTTTACAGTTTTTTTTATATTTAATTTTAATTTTTTCTCATTTTAGAATAAAACTAAGGAAAAAGAAAGGTAAAATTTTGAAATATTCATCTAGTTTTATTATGTTATTTTATTTGTCTTATATTATTTCTAATTATATTGTTAATTTTATTTTGATTAATAATTGTTACATTCCCTCACATACATGCACATTTGCATTCATGCACGAACCTTATACCCAGGCTCCCAAATCTATTCTTTTTTGGAAAAGAGTAAAGTATCTACGCTTTCGTAAAGTTATAATGCCTCTGCTTGGACTAGTAAAATACTTTCACTCAAGTTAAATCCTTTCCGTCAGTAACCTGTTATGAGTAAAGATCAGGGGTCTTACTAGTCCTGAGTGGATGATAGTGAGGATTAATTTGAGAACATTTTTAGTCTATGTTAATCACTACCAAAGAAAAGGAAGACGCTTTATAGAGTATGTACAGTTACTCTACATTTGGTAAAAAGTTATCTTCAGTATCTTATGGGTAAATTTCATCCTACTTATAGTAATAAAAGTGAGCCAATTGAAAAATGCTACATTGTTAAGTGGCCAAAATCAAAGTACAAGGAAAAGTTGGTATTGATTTTGCAAAATTCACTAGTACTCAAGTTATATAGAAAGCTCTATGGATGCCACGAGAAGCCATGTTGTACAAGTGTGGTGACAAACCATGGGTTCCACTCTTAAGACCATGGGAAGGTATAAGCATGCTCCAGTAATTGTTTGTCAACAATTGGTGTTATAACATATAGATCTAAAAATCTATAGCTAGACTTAACTAAAGAGTCAACACCAATCTTTTTATCTAGGTGTGATTGGCCAACTAAGTAATCTATCCTTTTAAAGAGCTCTTAAGCTTGACTAAGGGTCCTTAAAAGAATAGGTTCAGGTCTACTAACCAGAATAGGATTAAAAAATTTGGTTATACATGGGGAAGGTTATAGCACCCCTACATGTCCATCCGAAAGATGGTACCGTATGATTTTAAATTTATCCTAAGGTCTTGATTCTAATAGTCTTAAATTTTATATTACATATTAGAAATAACTTTTAAAATTTTTTTATCAATCTAGTAGAACTCTAAAAAATATTCCCTCATATTGAGAGTATTCAAGAATCCCATTTATTTTTTTACGGAGGCTTCATTGTCAGAAAAAATGTTTAATTATTATTTTTTTATTTTTATTTAGCTTTTATTATTGAAAATATATCTAATTATTCCACCATTTGAGCCAATTAGAAATATTTTCTTTTTTTATTTTTTTGAATTTTTAAATTCTTCATCATTTGGGACTATTTAGAAAATTTTTTTTATTTTTTTTATTTTAGGAAAGAAAATAATATGACAATTTTTTTCTTGAAATTTCATTTAAATTTTTCTACCATTTAGGACAAATTTAAAGAAATTTTTCACCTGAAGATTTCTTAGAAATTTACTATTTGAAATTTATAAGAATCTTATTATTGGATAATTATCAAATATTTTTAGTCAAAAGTTTTTTTTTTGGAAAAGAATACCATTACTTTTATTGAAATTTCATCTAAATTATTCCACCATGTATGACAAATTTAAAGAAATTCCTCACCTAGAGATTTTTTAAGAAATTTTCACTTGAAACTTTTAAGAATATCATTTTTGGGTAATTTATATTTAATTCCAAAATTTTTATTAATATTTTTTTGGTTTTTTTATTGAAAATAAATATTAATTATTGTTATTGAAACTTTATCTAAATTATTCCACAATTTGGGACAAATTTAGATAAAATTTCTCACTTAAAAATTTTATAGAATTTATCATTTGAAATTTCTAAAAATTCCATCATCGGATAATTATTATTTATTCTTAAAAAATATTTTATTTTGTTTTATTTTTTTTATTTATTCCTAAAATTTAATCATACAAAATAAAAAAATAAATAACCAACTAAATAAACAAATATAAAAAACAGAAACGACTCAACTTAGCGGTTTCAGCACAGTTCGACTTCAAATATAGAATTCAGCTCCAAGGATGTGGCTCGGGTCTCGACTTGGATGAAGGAGTGGGTTGAAATACAGATCGACAGAAGCAAGTTGCGTACAGGTTGGGTCGCCCGAATAAAAATACGCGGATCTTAAAGCCTTTTAAATGCCAAAACGATGTCATTTCAGTGAGAGTATAAAAGGCTAGTTTCAGGCTTTTTCTTCAGATTTCTCTTTCCCTTCTCTCTTTTCTCCCTTTTCTTTCCCTCTCTCTATTCTAGATGAACTTCGGTTGAATTTGCACTAGATTCTGAAAATTTTCATTGAAATTTGGGTAAGTTCACTGAAAGTTTGTCAATTTTTGGAAATCAATCGTCGAAAACTGAGAAACTTATAGGAATCTAGGAATCTGGTTGAAATCTTGTCAAAAAATTCAATCGACATCGACGAAAAACTAAAAATTTTCTAAAAATTTTCCAAAAAAAAATCTATTTTTTCCCAAAAATTTCCCTAAAAACTTTCACACTTTTTGACTGCTTTTGTGGATTCTAACTTCCTGCCTTTATGTTTTTTTATATTTTTTCTCTGTTTTTTGTGTGTGTCTATGTATTTATAGGGTTTCAAATCTGATAACCCTAAA